AAAATAAAAACTTTATTTATTGATATATTATATTCTTTAATAAATATTAATTTTTATTTTTATATATTTATTTTAGAAGATAAATATTATTTATTTATTATTTATAAAATAAATTTATAAATAAATAAATAAAAAAAAATAATGAAAATCATTTATTAAATTAAATTCTAATTTAATTTTTTCATATAATGTTTTCATTAAAAATAGTTTTCAATATTCATAAATCTTTTAAAGTCTACCCATTAAACATAATTATAATATTATAAAATATATATATGCATTATAATTCTATATAATTATATATTAAATATAAAATCTATATATTAATAAAATATTATTATCTTATAATGATAAATACATTATCTATAATTAAAAATATTAATAAAATTGACTCTAAGGTTTTTTAGCTAATGTCATAATTAATTTTTTTTTGACATTATAGTTTGTTTATTTATTTTTTATTTCTATTATATTTATAATAATAATTTAAATAGTAAAGTACTTTTTATATTTATTTTTTGTTCTTAAAAAAAAAAAAAGCTTTATATAACTGCTTATTATATTTTCAAACTTATTTTTGTATATATTTTGATTTTACTTATTTTTAAATTTAGAGATTGTTAAATAATTTTACTATAAATAAAAAATAAATAATTTTAATCTTTAATAAAAATAAAAAGAAATTAAATGTAGATTTTAATTTATTACAAATGTAAAATATTATATATTATATTTTGTTTTTTTTTAAAAAAGCATATATGAAAGCATTGTCAAAAAAAATTAATTTCTTTTATAAATGACTTAATAACCTAAAAAAAAAAAATTAAAAAATTAATTACTAATTTATTTATAGATTAATTTAAAAATTATCATATTAAATTAAAAGAAAATAAAAAAATATAGTTTTAAAATTTATAATTTTTTTTTTTTCTTTTAAATATTTTTTTTATAACAAATAATTATAAATTTTTAATTATTTTTAAAATTAAAAATTCTTGCTTTAAGTTTATAAAAAATTTTTTTTTTTTTAAGATTTTATTTTATTTATTAAAAAATCATTCATATATTAATTTAATTATAAACGTAGAAACATATCTTTGTATATTTATTTATAATATAAGTTAAAAATCTAAATTATTGTAAATTATTATAAGATTTATAAATAATATAAATATATTTGTTCTTAAAATTAAATATAAGATTAATTAAAAGGAACAAATAGAAGAAGCTTTAAAAGTTAAAAAATTCTTATTGTAAAATAAAGAAAGTAAGAAATAAAAAAAAATTAATTTATAAAAAATAAAAAGACTAATAAAAAAAAATATATTTTTATTGAAAAAAAATAAATAAAAAAAAAAACTATTAATATATTGATATTTGGTTTATTGTTTTAATTTGCAAAAAAAAAAAAAAAAAAATGAGCGTAACAATAAAAACATTCATTTATTAAAAGTAATTCATTTGTTTCAAAATAAAAAATACAAATTAAAAAGGGCATATAAAATACTGACGAAAAAAGAAAAACTCAATAGAAAATGCTATAAGGGCATATACAGAAAATGTAATTTTTTTTATTTTATATATTATTCATAAATATATATATATATATATATATAATATTACAATAACAAAAATTAAAAAAAGAATAAGTTCAAACATAATAGACTGTTCTTACAGAAGCTTAAATATAATAATAATAATAATTAATGTATTAATAATAATATTCTTATTATTACGGACAATATTAAACAGGGCAAAGTAAAAAATATAATAAATATAATAATTTTTTTAAAAATAAAATAAATAGATAATTAATATAATGTTTATTAATAAAATGGTATTAATTATTACTAATAATTTAACTAATAATATTACATGGGACCATATTAAACCATTAATTATTATTATAATAATACAGCTTATCCAAATAACTAATATGTAGTCCCTTAATAATAATAAACACATATGTAATAAATCTAATAATAAACACAAATTCCATAAAGCGAAAATAATCTGATTTTAGAGTAGAAATAAACATAAATAAATAACTAAATAAATGTACCACAAACATAAATAATCCCTTAATATTAATAAAAGCAAGATAATTAAGATATTAAATAATAAAATGTATATTATGATCCATTATTAGATGATATAAAAAGAACTTTGTAAAAAAAATAAAAAAAAAAATCTTTTTTTAATTTTTAATTATTATTTTGTATTTTTTATTTTTAAATAAATAAAAAAAAAGAAATCATTAATAAAAATACTCAAAATCTCGTTGGGATTAAGAAATAAAAGTTTCACCTTAAATTCTCGAAAAAGTAAACCATCCAGAAAATCCCCCTAAACTAGATTTCTAAGATATCCTTAGTTCTAATGAAATAATACTTGGAATCTAAAATTATATCAAAAATTCATTTGATAAATGCCAAAATGCTAAAGAATAGTAACTAATGATGGGACTATTATAATAAACTATCACAAATTCAATAAAAACCATACTTTAGACCTAAAAGACTGGAATAAAATACCTACGCCATTACTTCCTAGGGAAAAACCTGCTGCTCCTTAGCCTAATGTAATTACTTAATAACCTATTTTAAATATGTAAGGATAATAAAATATGTCTTAATAGAATATAATGAATTTGCTAAACTCGGCTCCTACTTAATTACTTCCCTAGTATTCTTAACATTCATAAAGTCTATAATAAAAGTAATAAGAAAAATCTGAAATACTAAATTAAATTTAACAAAAATTCCAGAATAAAAAATAATCCGAAAATAAACGTCCAACATAAATTGACCTTTCGGAAATCCAAAACGAAAAAAATACTCAAAAAAAATTAAAAACAATTGAAAAAAATGAAAATAATGATTTAGAACTAGACTACGAAAAATGGAATATTGTAGGTACTTGTCAAGACATAGAAAAACCTTATTTAAGACTTACAAAAGAGCCTTCGCCAGATTAAATTAGACCTGAAGAAATATTAAAAAAAAGTCTAAAGTTTTTACTAAATAAATGGAAAAATAGAGAATGTGAATATTAATATATTCAAGACTAATTTAGATCTATTAGATAAGATCTAGTCATATAACATATAAGAAATGAATTTACAGCTAAAGTATGTGAAAATAATGCCAGAATATGTCTAGAAGTAGATGATATTGGACAATATATGTAGTGTTGTGCAACTTTATTTGATTTATATTAAATTGGGATTTAAGGGTAAAAAGAAGAGTTTTATTGCTATAAAATAATTGATTATGGACTTAATATTTAATAGAATTTTGAATTACCGAAAATTATATATGAAATTTAAAGTTTTATTGAACACCCATTGATTTAATTTGCTATTGAGTATCTTATATATACATATATAATATGTTTATTTTTTTATTATTTTGTTAGTTTAATTGATACTTATAATCAAGGTAATGTTTATAAATTTTATTAAATGTATGAAAAATCACCTAATATGTGTTAATGTATTATTGAAAGAAATATCACTAGATTAAGATTATGGGGATTAAGTATCGTTTCAAAATCGTATTTATATTTTATATATTTATTAAATATTAAAAAAAATCTAGATTTTAACAAAAAATGTTTTTGATTAATTTAAAAAATTTATTAAAATTTGAAAATTTAGAACATACAAAAGAATTTATTATATCTTGTGGTAATATTATAATTTGTATATATAAATTTTAAATTAATAAATATTATTTATTGTATTTTATTTATAATTTTTTTTTTTTTTATTTAAGGTGCTAAATTAGATGAAAAAGGTGAAAATTTATTATTAAAAGAAAGTTGGAAAGCATTTTATGAAGCCTACTCAAGCATATGAAAAATAAAAAATAAATTTTATTATTATTATTATTATTTTATTTATTAAATAATTAATATTATTAATTTTTATAAAAAATTTATATTATTTTAATTATAAAATAAATAAAATATTTTTTATTATTAATTATAAAAATATATATAATATATATATATATATAATTTATATTTTATATATATATGTACAAATATAAATAAATTATATATATATTTTAATAAACACTCATGAATCTTTTTTTAATAATTTTTATTTTCTTTGTATTTATTATTCTTTTATTTTAAATGTTAATCTTTTAAATTATTAATTATTTTTAGTATTAAGAAGATCTAAATTATTTAATTAAAGATATTTTTTTTAAAAAAAAATTACAACTTCATTTTAATTTATCATTAATATTAAAAAAAAAATTATTTTTTAAGATTCCTAAAAATATATTTTTTTATAATTTTAAATATATTTTTAAATATTTTAATTAATGGAAAGATAATATTTCTATATGTTTTTTTCTTTATATTAAAATAATTTTTCTTTATATTATAAATTTTGAATATATTAAAGAATTAATAACACTTCATTTAGAATAATCTCATATATTATAATTTTATTAAAATATATTTATGAATTTTTAAATTATTTATTTTACCTTTAAAAATATGAATTTTATATTAAATAATTTATATTAAATATAAAAAAAGTTTCTTTATAATTTAAAAATTTTTTTTTTGATTTATTGAAAATTAAATATTAAATGGAATTATTTTCATTAAAATTATAAATTTTTAGAAATTTTAAGTTTATGGCATTTTAATGAAATTTCTTTAATTTGGAAACTTTCTATTTATTAAATATTAATTACTTTTCAATTAATATAAAATGTTCTATCAATTTATAGTTAAATTAAATAAGATATAAATTTTTTATTTATTTTTTAATGACTTATATTTTTCGGTTTATTATGAAAACAAATGATATACAAAAATTAGGCCAAAAAAAAAAAAACAAATTTTTTTTGATTTTTAAAATTAAAATAGGATATGAATTATTTATATTTTATTTTTAAATAATATATATTTATTTATAATACATTTCTTTTTTATATAAATTTTTATTATTACTAAAATAAATTTCAATATAAGAATATAAAGTAGTTAGATGATAAATATATATATATATATATATATATATATATATATATATATATATATATTTATATATATTAATATTTTCATTTTTTTTTTTTTTATATTTTTTTTTATTTTTATAAAAATTTATAATATATATATATATATTTATTTTCATTTTCTAATCTTGAAATTTTATTTTTTTATAAAACTTAATTTAATATTTTACTTAATATTCTCTTTCAATTTAAAATCTAGAAATATATATTTTTATTCAATATAATGCTTTGGTTTCAATATAAACGTGAACTCAAGTATTAACTATTCTATTTAAAAAATAAGCATGAAAATAATAATTATTAAAATAGTTAATTATTTTATTTGAATTATATTTCTAAAATAAATTTATTAAAAGAGATTGTAATTGTATTAGAAAAATATTATAATAAAAAACAATTTTTTATAAAATCAAATAAAATATTAATATGAGTTTTAAGCTATACCTTCTTTAAAATAATAGAAATAAATAAATAATAATTTTTCATTTTGATTACTTATTATAGTAATTATAGTATTCAAAAAAATTAAAACTTAACAAAAGATATATTTTTTAATTTAATAAATTAATAATATATTTAGTATTTTTTAGTAATAATTTGGAATAAAAAAATTCAATGATTTAATATTTAAATGATCTCTAATCTATCTTATAATATTAGAACTAATTAAAAATATTGACTTTTATAAAAATAAATAAAATAATTTGTGAATTTATTAATTAATTTGCAAAAAAGAATAAGAACTAGAAATAGAAATAAAAAATAAGAAAATAAAAAGTTAAATAAAATGAAATATATAAAAAATTAATTTAAAATAATGAAATATTATATATAATATTTTGTATAAATAATTTATTATTAATATTAATATAAAAAAAACAAAAAATAAAAGTAAAAAAAAATACAGATATTTTACACAAATATAAATAAGGATAACGTCATATAATGTAGTATTAAAAGAAATATTATGAAATATAAAATTATAAAATTTATAATAAATAAAATCAAAAATAAAATATTTATAAAATATAAGACATTAAAAAATATAATTCTAATTACTAATTAAATAAAAATAATTATTATAAATGATATGTCAAGGTACATATTTACTATTAATAAAAAAATAATATAATATGGATATAAAATATATGCAGAAAATAACTTATAATAATTAATGATAATGTATATATATATAAATATTTATATAAAAAAATAAAAAATAAAAATAAAATAAAAAAAAAAATATATATTTATATATATATTAATAATAAATATATATATATATATATATATTTATATCATTATTTATATTTATAAATATATATCTTTATATATTAACCATTTATAAATATACATTTTTTTATATATATATGTATATAATATAATTTTTTTTTTATTATTATAATTCCATATTCTAAAGCAATATTTATGATTATCATATATACTAAATTATAAATTAAATAATTTAATATTATATATTTATAAATATGTAATTATTTGTAATAAAATAATATATATTTTTAAAAAAATCAAGATTATTAATATTTTATTTAATATACTATTGCATAATCAACATCACAAATTCGATCTTGCAATAGTATGTTTAATTAAATGTTTTAAACCTAAATCTTCTACTTTTCCTGTCCCTAATAGCATCATCCCATTTTTAATTTCTTTTTCAAAGATATCAAACATTTTTAAAATTCCTTATTCGCCTTCACTAGCATTCGCATAAATAGTCGGTCTTCCTACAAAAACACATTTAGCACCTAAAGCAAGACATTTAATAACATCAGTACCTCTTCTAATACCTCCATCTACATAAACTTCAACTTTATTTTTATAATCTTTGATACTTTCCATAACTTCTGGTAGTATATTAATAGTACTTCTTACTGTATCTAATTATCTTCCTCCATGATCTTAAAATAAAGAAATATAAATAAAAGAAATTTTTAAAAAATTACTCGAAACCCATATATGTGCGCCTAAACGTGCTGCTTTTAAAGCATCTTCGCCATTTTAAATTCCTTTTAAAATAATAGGCAATTTAGTAATTGATTAAAGCCATTTTACATCATCCCATTTTAAATTTTATTCTATTTGTTTTGCAAACAATTACAAAAGACCACTACCTTAGTTATTTTCAGATTAAACTTTCATTTAATCACTATATTTTTCTAATATTTCTAATTTTAAATTTTTTGGGAGTGAAAAATTATTTCTTTCATCAGCATCTCTTATACCTATTAATTAAAAAAATATATATATAAATAATATTTATATATATATATATATATATATATATATTTATATTTATATTTATATTTATATTATATATATATTTGTATATATATTTTTTTTTTTAATTTATATATATTTTAGTTTTTTTTTTTTTTACCTAACCAGGGTGCATCTACAGTTAAAACTATAGCTTTGTAATTTAATTTTTCAGCATTTTTTACTATTTCAAAGGTGAAATTACGGTTCTTAGATACATATAGTTAAAAAAATCTTAAAGAATTGTCAACTTCTTTAGATACGTCTTCCATACTAGTTGTCGAAAGTGTACTTTGGGTATAAATAGTTCCTTTTTTTGAAGCTGCTCGGACTAAATTTAATTCACCTAAATCATGTGCCATTTTATTCATTGCAGTTGGGGCAATGGCAACTGGAATATTGATTTTATGTCCTAATATAGTAGTTGAAATGTCTATATCAGTCAATCCAGAGCAAACATATGGATTTAAAAGGATTTTAGAAAAATCTTCGATGTTTGATTTCAAAGTATGCTCACTGGTAGCACCAGAACGGTAGTATTAATAAGAATTTTAATTTAAATGATTTTTGGCTTCTTCTTCAAATTCAATAATGTTAACATATTTTTTATCTTTTATCATTTTTATATTTTTTTGAGATATTTGTTAATAAAGATATTTTTAAATAAAGTAAATTTTTTATCAATAAAAAAAAGAAAATAAAAATAAATATAGTGTTTTAATAAATTAAAATTTTATGTTAAAATAAATCAAAAAATATTTATATATAAGTTATAAATAAATATAAATAATTTATAATGAATATATTATATTTTTTATTAAAATTTACAAAAATTATTTATTAGATTGTTTTTAATGATAGTTAAAAAAAATATAATTATATATAATGAAAAAATAAATATATATATATAAATAAACAAATCTAGTATTTATATTTAATAAAAATTAAATTTATATTTATATATTTTTTATTTTTATCTATAAAACTATTTTTATAAATTTTATATCATTTAATTGCACTTTTTAAACATTTAATAGAACAAAATTCTTTACCGAATTTTTTGAATTTTTCAATAGAATCTTTATATTCTCTGTTACATTAAGAACAATTCCACATTTTTTCTTCTTCTTTTTATATTTAAAAAAAATTCCAATTTAATAATTTCAAAGTATTTTCTTTTAAAATAATTTAAATCTCTTTTTCTGTAAAATTATTTTATAAAAATTCTATAGTTGCTTAAAAGCCTTTTCCTCCATATTTTTTTAAATCAGTTCTATATTAAATACCGTTTGATATTATAATTTAATTTAAAAAACCTTTTTAAATCAGGACTTTTATAATAAAACATAATTTTCTATTGTTATATCTTAATATATCGAATCCTATAAAAAAACCTTTTTCTAATAGATTTATTATTTTATCTAATTTTATCTTTTTTGAGAAAAAAGCTTCACTTTATTCAAAATATTTACTTTCTTCCAAAATTAATTCAGGATTAAATAAAATAATACTTTATTGGCCTTAATTATTTTTCATATAATTTAATAAATAGTCAAGATTTTTCATAGAAAACTCCAAATTAAACAATATAGGTATTTTATTTAATAAATTTACATGTAAATAGGCTTATAAAATATTCTAATGTGCTATATTATTCACAAAATCAAATTAATTTAGCAAAACTTCTCCTAAAAAAGCCGGTTTAGTGCCTTAAGTCCCCAATGAAAATTCATAATCAATTATTTATATAAAATTTTAGACAGAATAAAGTAATTAATTATCATTTAAATTTCCTTGAAAATTAATAACAAATCCTCTAATAATTTAAATATTTAAAATTTTATTTAAATGTAATAATTTTTATAAATCTTAATTATTAGTAGTTTCTAAAATAATAATATGTTAATTATTAAAATTTTATAATTCAGATTGTATTTCCTCTATATTATTCAAATTTAAATTTCTTAAATTTTTTTCAGGATTTTTTCTCAATAATTAAATCGTTTATAAATTAATATCTTCGATTTCTTCTTATTTATTATTAATAAGATTCTAAAAAAGATGTTCATGGAAATAAATATGAAGTATTTTACAATAATCATCCTCATTTATTTAATTTTATATTGTTTATATATATTTATATGTTTGAATTTCCATATTTAATTAATAATAAATAATATTTATAAAAATAAATATATATATATATATATATATTATATATATATATATAAATATATTTGCATTTTTCAATTATTATTATTTTTTATATATATATCTAATTTATTTAATATTTAATCAGGTGTATTTATATTTAGCTTTTAACAAATTTTTAATATTAAATCAAAATCTTAATTTTAGTTTAACTTAAAAAATTCTAATAAATCTATTATATATTTTAAAATTTAATTATTTGAGTAGTTTTATTTTTCTAAATCAAGTATTTTTTTCGATAATTTTATGAATTTTTATATTTCGTTTAATTAAATTAATATTTATTTCATATTTTTTTACTAATTCTTTTCATTTATTTCATTTAAAGTTATATTTTCTTGATTTTATTCATTTAAAATTATAATTTCTTTTATTTTTTCAATAATTTCATCCTCTTTTTCTATATTAAGAATTTATATTAACTCTTTTTATAGTTTCTAATAATTATTTATAGTTTATAATTATTTCTTAATATTAAAAATTAACCATTTTTCATCATTTTCATCTCTTGTTTATGAAAACATTTACATTTTTTTCATAAAACTAAATATTTTTTCATATTTTTAAACTTCAAATTTTAATTAATTTATTCTTTCTAAAATTTAATTTTCATGACTTATTTGTAAAATCTATATTATATTAAAAAGTATATTTTTATCTTCTTTTTTTTCCTATTTTTATTCATATTTTTTTTCTTATTCTTATAATAAAGTGCATTAAATAGAAGAATGAATCATTTTTATTTTTTAAATATTATTACATTTATTATAATAAACTAATTATTATTATAAATCGGAATATTATTGCCTTATTTGTATATATTATTATTCAAAAAGATTTTTTTATATTGTAATTTCTTCTATTTATTATATAAGAGATTTTTCTTATTATTTTAAAATTTGATTTTATTCTTTTATTTTATTGTTTTATTTTTCAAAAAAATATAAATTTTCTTCTGATTTTTCAAATTATTTATATTTCTTTTATGATTATGTATTAAAAAGTGTATTATTTTTATTTTATTCAATATAATTAATTTATAAAAGTAGTTTTCTTTTAATTTTCATAAAAATTGATAAGAGAAAGAATTTTTGAATCAAGTTCATTGTTATTTATTGATTTTCTTCCTTTTTAGAAAATAATTATATAAAAATAAATATAATAAAAATAAAAATATATAAATATATATATATATATATATTATTTATATATA